ACATAAATTTTTTCCAAAGGTTACTAGCGCGGGCAGAATTTCCTGCTTAAGCCAACTGTTTGTAGAGCTATATTATATTTTTTGGTAATGAATGTTGTTTCTCCAGCTCCCGACAGTTCAGACTAAAATGTCAGGTGATAATCCTGTTTTTATCAGCAACTAATAAAATAAAAACCCCACCCAATCACATTCATTATGATTGCAGTTTCCTACTTTATTCATGAGTTATCTAGTCAACTAGCAACTAACTTAAAAATATCTGTCCCACATATTCCTCTTAAGCACTTCATAAGCATCTCCATAGTACTATTTGTCGTATGCAGTTATTTTTTTTTAATGTGTGTGTGTGTGTGTGTGTGTGTGTGTGTATTCATCTGTACATGGGCATGAAAGCCAGGGGCAACTCTGGCATCTTCCTCTCTAGCTCCACCTGTCTGTTCTCCCAGTGCTGATGTTACGGGCATGGTATCATGACTGCCTTTTACTCAGGTGCTAGGGATCTGAACTCAGGTCCACATGCTTTTATAGCAAGCGCTTTACCTACTGAGCCATTTCCTCAACCCCATCCCCAGTTGTTTTTATCTATAAGATAGGATTAAGGAGCCATCTCCCCAGCACTACATATTGAAAGGTAAGTAGAAGCTGTGTTTCTGTCAAGGTTTTTTATTTTTCTTTTGTAGGGGTTGTTTATTTAAATTTATGTGGCCCTGACTGGCCTCGAAGTTGCTCCTTCCTCCACCTCCCAAATACTAGGATTACAAAAGTGAGTAAACAGGCCTGACTTTCCAAGGACTTTTTCTATAACCTCTCAGGAATGAAAGTATCTAAGAATGTAAGTTTGAGGGACTGGAGAGATGACTCAGAGGTTAAGAGCACTGACTGCTCCTGTAGAGGATTGGGGTTTGATTCCTAGCACCCATGTGGCGGCTAACAACTATCTGTAACTCCAGGGGATCCAACACCCTCTTCTAACCTCTGCTGGCATTGTATGACATGGGTGCACTTACATACATGCAAGCAGCACACTCATACACATAAAATAAAAATAATAAAATGTATAAAAAGGCCAGGTGTGGTGGCACATGCCTTTAGTCCCAGCACTCAGGAGGCAGAGGCAAGCAGATCTCTGTGAGTTCAATGCTAGCCTGGTGGTCTACATAGTTCCAGGGGAGTTGGGGGCTATAGGAAGACCCTGTCTCAAAAAGACCACCAACAGCCGGGCGTGGTTAATTCTAGCACTTGAGAGGCAGAGGCAGGCAGATCTTTGTGAGTTTGAGGCCAGCCTGGTCTACATAGTGAGTTCCAGGACAACTGAGGCTACATGGAGACTGTGCTGGATAGCTTTAGTGTCACCTTGACACACCTGGGTTGAGGCAGCCTCAGTTGGGGAATTGCCTCTATTGGACTGGCCTGTGGGCATGTCTGTGGGGCATCTTCTTGATGAGTGATGTGGGAGGGCCCAGCCCACTGTGAATGGTGCCACCTCTGGGCAGGTGGGCCTGTGCTACATAAGAAAGCAGGCTGAGCAGGGTCTAGGGGAGCAAGCCAGTAAGCAGCATTCCTCCATGGACTGTGCTCCAGCTCCTGCCTCCAGGTTCCTGCCTTGAGTTCCTACCTTGGGCTTCCTGATGAACTGTGACCTGGGAGATGTAAGCTGAATAAACCTTTCCTCCAAGTTGGTATTGGTCAGAGTATTTTGTCACAGCAATGAAAATCCAAACTAGGACAGAGATCCTGTCTCAAAAAAGACAAAAAAAAAAAAAAAAAAAAAAAAAAAAAAAAGAAAACCACCACCACCACCAAAATATTGAAAAGAATGTAAGTTTGAGGTGGGTGTGGTGGTACACATCTGTAGTCCCAGTATTTATAAATTTGAGGCAAGGAGGATCATGAGTTCAGGACCAGACTGGGTCACATCACCGGCTCAAGGACAACTGGGGCTATACAGTGAAACACTGTCTCAGAAAAACAACAAAACCATCAAGATCAAATCACCATTCCCTTTGATTGAAATAGAGACGGGCAGTTTATGGTGGGATCTTCCATCAGTCAAAAGCCCTGAGTTTTGTGATGTGTTACTTAGGAGTGGGAAAAAAAATATCTCTACACATTCTCTATCTTAGTTCCATCAGCTTGATAAGTGTAATTAACTAAGTACCTATTTAATCATTGAAGTAGAATATTGCAGATGGATGGTATCTTAGCAAGCCTATTTATTCTACAGACAAGAACACTGAAGCTCAAATTAATGAATTTCCCTATCACATTACCCTATTAGTGACTTAGCAAGAACATTTTTGGCTCATTGTTTTTTCTTTCCTAGGAAAGTGAATAAACTTAACTGAGAATGTCTGAAAATCTTGACAAGTCCCATATAAATGAAGCAGGAAAATCAAAGTCAAATGACTCTGAGCAAGGCCTGGAAGGTGCTCTGGAATGTTCTGATGAAGCTTTACAGAAAAAAATAAAGTCGGACTCACCTAGCCCCCAGAAAGTGGGAAGACCTCACTGTAAGCAAATTTGATTTTGGCTAAAAGCACTGTTATCATTGTTTCCAAATGGCTTCCTCAAGTGGGTGACCCTGCACTAAGTTCTAATAGTATGACAGCATTGCTAATAATTAGCAATTGAGAATAGCAGCAGTTTTCCAACTGGCATTCTAGACACTTGTGGTTTTCAATTTGGAATGGGTTCTAGAATGTTCCTGTCTCTCTCCAGCCTCAGTGGCATTCCAGTTTCCCTGAAGTACTCAGAAACAGGAGGATAGAGTACAAATTGTAGCTTTAAGAGTGAAAAATCTGCCGGGCCTAGTGGCCCATGCCTTTAAGGCCAGTACTTGGGAGGCAGAGGCAGGCAGATCTCTGTGAGTTCAAGGCCAGCCTGGTCTACATAGTGAGTTCAGGCCAGCTGAGGCTACAGGGAGACCCTGTCTCAAAAAGACCAAAAAAAAAAAGGTAAAGAAAAAGAAAAATCTGAAGCCTATTTGAGCTTTTATAGCTTTAAAAAAAGTGAGTGATTTACCACACCCTAAGTCCACTTCCCTTGGGCTTAGTTCCCACAGATAAAGGGGATTCAGTTTGCTGAGTGAGATCATTTTAGGTCCCTGGCAGGGAGTAAGTAAGCCTCATAGATGAAAGCTGGTGATTTCTGCATGTATTCCAAATGTCCCAGCTCATGTGTTTTATTAGGAACACTTTTTGAACTTTTGAAGTGAGTTCAAAAATGAAAAAGTTTTTTTTTAAATATTTTATTATTTCCATTTTGTGTGTGAGTATATTGTTTGTGTGTGTGTAAGTGCACCTGTGTTGTGTAATGCCCTCAAAGGTCAGAAGAGGGTGTTGGATCCTCTGGAACTGGAGTTACAGACAGTTGTTGGTTGCCATGTGAGTACTGGGAATTGAACCCTGATCGCAAGAGCAGTGCTCTTAACTACTGAGCCATCTCTCTCGTCCCCCTGAAAATGAAAAAGTTTTAAGAAGGAATATCATAGTCTAAGCTTGCCAGTGTTGATACTATCTCTTTAAAGTATAATGATCAGTAGCGCCCCAGTGTGGGGGCATGCCTTTGGTCCCAGCAGTTGGGAGACAAAGGCAGAGGCATAAATAAATAAAAATTTTAAATGAGTAGTTCTGTAGGTTATGAAGAAAAGCAAACATTTTGGGGTTTTGAGGTATATCTATCTAAAATAAACCCATTCCTAAATAATTTATCAGTCAACATAGTATTCTTATAGCATCTACAAATGGGCCCCATTTTATTATGGTTTATGATCATATAGACTTTGATGAACTAGCATTAAGTTGTTTCCAGACAAGCATGCTGTGGTGGTTTGAATGAAAATGTCCCCCATAGGCTCCAAGTGTTTGGACATTTTGTCCCCAGATGATGGCGCTGTTTTGGGAGGTTTTAGAAGGTGTGGCTATCCTGGACGAAGCATGTCACTGGGGGTGGGCTTAGAGAATTCTTAAGCCTTGCCAGATCTCCAGTTGCTCTCTTGCTTCCTGTGCCTGCGTAATGATGTGAGAGCTTAGCTTCTGCTCCTCCTCCAGCCACCTCTGCCGCCATGCTTCCCTGCCAAGATGGAGTGTAATTCCCCTGGAACCATATGCTCAAATAAACTCTTCCTTCTATAAACTGCTTGGGTCAGTGTTTCTATCACAGCAACAGAAAAATGACTAACACACATGCTATATTATTAGGGCAACCTATTATGCATGTGTTACTGTTCTGAAATGTTTAGTTAGAAACATTTTTCTCTACCTCTTTAAAATGAGACTTTAAAATGCCTGTCTCTTAGCATAAACCTCTTGTTTTGTTTTGAGACAGGATCTCATACTGTAAGGTTGGCCTTGAACTGTGGCAGTTCTGCTTTAGCCTCTCGAGTGCTGGGATAACAGGAATGAGCACCACACCTGGCTCCTAGTTTCTTTCT